TACCAGAACGGAACCTAGCAAATCACTTTTGTGCTACACGTTCGTTTACAGTATCGGGCCCATAAACTAAATTAATGTTTTCAGCCGCTTTGGCTGCTTTTTCGCTTTGATCGAAGAAAAATTGTAAAATATAGCGAATTTTCTCTTTGCTGGTGTCCATCTTTAACGAGCGCTCACAACGAACTGAGTAAATCAATCCAAAAACTGTCAAAGACAAACTTTTAGCGCGAATAGTATGACATGATGCGACACGCAACACTAGTACTATAGACAATAACGCCATCTCTTAGATAAAAGCCGAACGAACTTTTTACTTGACCTAATATCTTACTTTTTTCCTGCAATAATGTGCTGAGAATAGAATTAATATAACTGAAAATAGTAGGTGCACTAGATACTGTGAAACTCTTTAGATATAGATTCTAAATATGCTTGCTGGATTTCTCCTTTACGAACTTACATACATATGCGTTGAAAATTCTTCTGCCACCAAAGCTGCAGAAATTTTAGTTGCCAATAGCCAAATGTATCAACCAAATCTTTCAAATTTTCTGTTTTAAATGAGATTGTACTACTAATATTTAAATTACTAAATTCAAAAGGCAATTCAAGTTTCCTGTAAACCAGTCATTAAAAAGCGGCAGTGTTGACAATAAATTTAATAGTGAGACAGCGGTTCTTTATTTACGTTAACGTGTTCGTTATGTGTCGTCACACTCATTGCGGGGTCTTCAGTTGATGCAATTTTTTATAGCTGTGAAGGTTTTTGTTAACGGCGTTGGTAATAAACGTACATCATGATGTAGCAACAAATCTAAGAAAGCGAACGGGTCAGTGTCGGAGAGCGGATATGAAGGAAGGAGTGCCAGAAAAACCATAGATTTAAACTTGACTCAAGTGTTTTTATTTCTTATTGGACTACTATCTTATTATACACACACACACGTGTACCTTATATTCATCGAGCAGACGATGGACGTTTAGTATTGACTTTTTCTTATTTTTGCCGCGCTGATGACCCTCAAAAGTTGAAAAAAGTCTAGTTTAACACATACATATGCTTATATCCTTAAAACCACGCATGGAGTTGAGCAAAGCTTTCGACTACGCTTACATGTGTACAAGTATGTATGTACATGAAAGTTTCTGTAGCGGCGCTCTGTCAGAATGAAGTGAAGTCATACATATTCTTAAGTTCCTGAAGTGGTTGTTGTTTTTGGTATGTGTACTCGTATATGCGTAAATGGATATCAAGTATCAGAAGCCCATAGCAATATAACCACAACATCGCTTAGGAAAACACAGCTAAAAGCGGCCATGGCTCAATGGATCTGCACTTTTCTTTCGTGTTGTGCGTTCGGCGAAACAGAGCGCAACAACTTTGGACCGTCAAGTTCGCCCCTCATCAGGAGCTTAGCGAAGCTTCAAGAATTAATAGCGCATTGCCGGGAAATTTATACCCGGTCTCTTGACAACTTCAGCAGTTGAACATATGAATATACTATATGTAATAAAAACGTACATACATATGTACAATTAATGCATATATGCTCTGGTTGAGACTTAGATCAATGAAGGAGGAATACAAAACTCTGACGAAGACAACACAACAAATAATTTGGACGGTCGAACGGATATACTCGTAAATAACCAGTGAACGTTAAGTTAAGTTATTGTAATATATATTTAGGTATAATTTGTTGATACGCAATAATAATTTCTGTAAAAAATACGAAACTATAACAGTATCTGATACTTCTACATTAGCATAGAAAATCAGGGTCCTGGAAAATCTGAAATTATTGCCATGAATAAAAGCTGTAATGGGGTGCCCTAAAACTAAAATGGTTTTCAAAAAAAAGAAACAAATTTGACAGAAAATACAGTTAAGAAGAACATATTGAATGAAGTGAGTGTAAAAAATTAGCCATTTCATGTTCAAAACTTTTTAATTTTGGATCTTTTCAAAAAGATGGCAGCCGGGAAAATCCGAATTATCGCCGAAATACCACTTAATATTGTACTTAAAGCAAAAGTCTTGATTTTATATGACTCAACAGTAGAGGATTAATTGTATACGCTAACCTAACCTTAAGTATTTCGTATGGCGTCATTATAGGTGTAGTGCAAATGTACTATGCAGTTTTCATGCGATCTGAGGATGTAGATATAATATTAAATATAAAATGTACTCGCGTTGTCCCTTTGATAATAAATTTGTAATAATTTTGTTTTGTTGTTCTGACGTTTTCTTTTAGGTGTTACAAACATTGTGCCAAACTTAATATACCCTGTTCAGGGTATAATTAAATACCCACGCCCATAATTAGAGGACCACGCATATTTTCCATACAACAAAGTTTTGAATTCCATATCATTCATTCACTTTACAAGCTCAAATGAAGATGCCTTTAAAAACCGACTCTTCAAGCCTCCACATTAAACGCGTTTTTCTCGAAACTGGATTTTGAAACTTGGTTGTCAGGATTTCTCACGAACTACTTAATCGATCTTAATGAAATTTTATATAGGTCTTCGATATAATTTACAAGTTTTTTCCGAGGGAGTGCTGGAATTGACGTCGTAATGGCCGAGTTTTGAGTTAAGTTTGGATAAAAGATTTCAATGAAGTATTTTTTTGCTCGAGGAAACCTATTTAACCCTTTATGTCATCTGTTAGTAAAAATTGTCGTCCTTTGTGCAGAAAACGATTATGTATAATCGTGTCAATACCTAACTCTCATATACATAATAATGTGTTTTTCGATTTTCAGTCAGTTTATTTAGGTCAACATGTGCGAAACTGAAAGGATATTAAGTGCTTTATTAACCTCTTAAATAGGTGGTTAGTTTAATATAAACTCCTGCAAAGTACTGTAAATGCTTTAGCGGATATGATCCTAGCAAATTGCGAATGTTCGGCTGGACCCAAACTTAGAAGTTCCTTATTTGTAACTAGCTAAATACTATCAAATTATTAAATCCAAAGTTTTATCTCTCTAACTGCTCTAAAAAAAAGCAATTTAACTAGAGCATCCTATTCTGATAGATGGAGGTATATACATTTTAAAATATATGATTGATCCTTTTAGCTGAAATTGAAGTTACAGAAGAAATCGGAGTTTTTGGATAAAAATTAAATTTTTATTCTCTTGCAACATGTTGCTACAGAGTATAATAGTTTTTTGTATCACCTGAAACTAATCGAAATAGACATAGAGTTCTATAAATATAAATGGTCAGGATGACAAGACGATTTGAAATCAGGGTGACTGTCTGTCCATTCGTCCGTATGTCTGTCCGCACAAGCTGTAACTTGAATAAAATTTTGGATATCGTGATGAAACTTGGCACACATGTTCCTTGCCTAAAAATAAGGATGCTGGGCGCAGTTGGACAATGTGTGAGATATATAATTAAAATTCGGATAGAATCCTGATAATAGTATATCTGCATATCTCAAATGGGTTGAATCGAGTCTCTACTTCCCTGAGCCCCCATATACCTAATGTAAAATTTTCAAAATTCCGGGTGACTTTATACTGCATATATCAGCCAATGTATAAGTTATCTCAATGAAAATGAGAGAGCATATTTTACTCATAATAGTGTACCTTTGTACCTGATATGGATAAAATCGGGAGAAACCTGACCTAGCCCCTTATGTAACTTATATCAGAATTCTTGAACATAAAGCTGACTTTACTCCATATATGTAGATTGGTGATGGTATGTGAGGTACCTTGATTGAATCCAGATTGCATTTTACTAGTATGTGGCATTGGCAGAAGTAAATAAAATCGGGTCGATACTACGTACAACTACCATATCTCTCTATTATATATAAAAGTTTTCTGCTGCTGTCGAGAATCAACTAACATAAGAGCGTGCTAGCTCGCGCTCGGCGGGGGGCGGACGTAGGCGAGCGAGCGAAGCGAGCGTCCCGGAGCGCAGCGGAGGTCGCCTAGTACTATATATAATGATGCGAACTGAAATATAGCTATAAAATTAAGTACTATATATAATGATTTTCGTTTTTCTAACAAGTTTTATGCCGAATATGTCGTTCAGTGATATATGTTATGAAAGTGTTAAGTTTCAAACTCTTGCAATTTGTCAGAGAAGGAGAAATACCTTCAGGTTTTGGCCAAACTTCAACTTCATTGTTCGACGGAGTGCTGAATGGATTACAATCAAATTTGGTATCATATTAACTTATTTTGAAGGTAAGAGGCTCCCTTAGTTTTATTACTATCGTTATATGCGGAGTGGGCGTGGTTACCATCCGATTTCACCTATTTTCACACTGTCGCAAGAGTTGTGGAAATGATATGCTCTGTGCAAATTTGAATAATATAGCTTGAATAGTTGGGGAGATATTGTATATACATTAAATCTATTAGGGGGCGGATCTATGTAATATAACTTTTGCTTACGCGAACTGAAATATAGCTATAAAATTAAGTTAATGGCCTTCAATATAAGTCAAGAAAATACCAAATTTGATTGTAATTTATTCACGTTTTCTTCGAACAATGAATGTTGAATGTTTCACAATATTTTAATCTCGTATTCGGGATTACAAAATAAAAAAAAATTTAATTCAAATGTTAATTCAATTTGTATGCATTATTTGAAACCCAGTATAAGAATTATAATTAAAATTAGAATGAAGGGGAGAGGAAATGACGATGAAGACATATTGCGAAGGGATAGAAATTTAAGAAGTAACTTGGGAAGAGAAAAATTGCCCTTATTAAATAATGGTTGATAATAAAACTATTTTTACGCTATTCCCAATAAATGTTCTCACTTAATTTGAACTATTAGTTCAGTTTAACTTTTAAGCCTTTCACGCTACCAAAACCATCAACAAAATATATGACTGGACAATAATTATAAGAGACAAAAAAAAAGGCATTTTATGTGCCACTTATTTGTTCTTACCAATCAAAGCATGTGTATGTGATTTAAAAGAGAAGCCTTAAATAGCTACTTACTCGACAGACAACCGCTATAACTCTTGAACACAGCAAATCTCGCATCTGTTGTATTGATGCCACCAATTTGTACACGATTTCCACCCACATCACTCGTTGGCACCGGAGCACGTGTCTGTATCTTTGTCAATGGCACCTTTTCGCGGTCAATATACAGAGTGGCCTCACTGCCGTTGCGTATGTAGTAGATGGAGTGGCGTGCATTATTCAGAAAACTTCGATCGATGTGCGCACCAACAGCCGGCCCTTCACGGTCCTCTTCGAATACTAGATGACCATCAGCGTTAATAGCTACCATCAGGTAATAACTGCGATCACCGGTCGGCTGCAATAACAACATCACACGGTTGGCACGCCGCAAATCAAACGAGGAGAATGCCAATTGCAATCGTACGTAGTCCACCTTGCCGGTAAGCTCGAATTTACGCAACAATGTTGATTCGCCGCTAAAGTCCGCTCCCTTCTCCTCCATACAAAATTCACCCAGGAAACTGGTGTGTTCACAGTCGCATGTTGACTCCTGTTTGGCAAAATTCTCCTTACATATGCCGCCATTTTTGCAAGGTTCGGCATCACATTTGATTTGGCAATTGGCCAGCACACCTTCCATGGCTGTTAGGGAAGAAAGAGAGAGTGAAAAATAGAATTACGAAAATGCGAAATATAATGTAAATACTCTTTAAAAGTTCGCTTTATTATTCAATTACTGTTTCTTTTGGATTCATTTGTTATATTTCCATTAGAGGTATTAGCTTTAATTTACCCTAATTCTTGTTTTCGACGTTTTTCTACTCAAGTCTAAGCTTTCTCTGAGGGAGTGAGAATTGCATTTGTTGCATTTCATTAAGAACGTATTTCGGTAGCTCAAATTTTGGGTATACATATTACTACATCCAGAACAGTATATATCAAGTTTGCCACGAAGTGTGTAATACCCAGAAGAAAACGTCGGAGGCCCCATAAAATATATGCATACATATATAAATGATCAGCGTCTGTCGGAACCGCTGATATCAGACCACTATAGCTGCCATACAAACAGAACGATAAAAATAAAGTACTTGTATGGAGAACATTTTAACGGGATATCTTCACGAAATCTGACATGGACTATTGCCTAAGGTAACGGTACAATGTTAGAATTCACAAAATTTAGCGCTTAACTTTAAAAAATCGGTCTGATAGCTACATTATTTTAATACTTTATTCGATGAGGGCATGTCCTATCTAAGCTAAATAACTTGTGCCCCTTACAGAATTATATCCATTTTTCTTACTTAGGAAGCCAGCTTTGGAGTGTTGTATATCTCTGCGACTTCGATTTCCTTTTAGTTTTTTGCGGTTTTCCATTAACTTGGAATCGCTATAAATCAGAGTAAATCAATTTTCTGGTCAGTCGCAGAACGTTTGGCATTTGGTTAGCTCTTACTTTGGCCGAACACTGTAGGTCTGATTCAATATTCAGCTAATACTAAAACATAACTTACTAGTACTGGTATATTGAAAATCTATGTACTGCTGCTCTGTGCCTTTGCGGTTACTCGCTACTTCAGCTTATCCGATTGACATTAATCTTTGGCAGTAATGACTATAAAGAGGACACTCGCATATGTTAGTAAACATACCAAAAGGCTTACAGACATGCGCTTGGGAGCATCCTAACTAACCCATATAGAAATAGAATATATATACAAACATTAAGTTAGATCGTCTTCTGGTCGGTTAGTATGCAATTAGAAAGAATTTGTAGTCTTAACAGGAGACTTCTTGACCAAAACAAGTTCTTAAAAGTAAAAAAGCTTGCTTCTTCGGATTGCTGATGGACTATTGGGCAAATTATTGTTGGAGAGATGGTATCGTGTGGTCTTCTTACTTTATGCTATTCCTATTCATCAATAGGTTGGAACCACTTGGCGTTCTACTTGAATCTAGTTACGTTAGAATGCCTTCTATGGATAGCCATAATGGGACGTTGTATATTGTCCCCTTGAAATAGTTCAAGAGATACCCCTATATTGGTCAATTCTTTAGCTTCAAGATGTTTAACTCCCTAGCAGTAGGAGTACCTATAACAAGGCCAATAACGATTATGGGCAAATGGTTGCCTTCTGTTTGGTATAAAGTAGGTAGAGTAAATGTCTGCCGACGCACCTATTTATCAATACAAAAAGTTTTATTTGTGCAACTTCTGAGACTCCGTCAAAAAACCTTCGACCGATAGCTGCGATTCTTTTCCTGTATAAAACTTTGCATTCGAATAGATGTTCAATAGTCTGTTCTTCTTCTACCTCTTTACAGCTTCTACAATAGTCATTGTATGGTGTACCCAGTCTGCTGGTATGTCTGGTAATTACACAGAGACCCGTTAGCACTCCTACTTGAGTTCGTATGTCGTTTCTTTTGAATTTTAACAGTTGGCATGTGTGGCTCCTATTTCATTCATGCCACGTTTGACTAGCAAGTTAGGGATTGAGTCCACCTAGACTCAGCTATTTGTTTGGTATTTATTCCGCGGTTATTTATGCCCAACTCATTTCAAAGGAAAAATAGTGTGGTTTTGTTTCCTCGATAATATGACTCACTTAAGTTTACATAGATTGGTTCTATGTCAAGATTGGTCTAATGACGACCTAATATATCTTATTTTCAAATAGATAATCAATCAAATTTCAAATAGATAATCAATCAATCAAAATTCATCTTCGATTTTGTTCGAAGAAAAGGAAAAAGGTCTATCGTCAATGAAGGAGGTTTAAACAACAGTATTTTGGTTTTAATCGGAGAGGCAATTATTAGCATATAAAGCTTTATAAAAAGTGACTATGTCTTCTGATTTCGTTAAAAATATAATTTCAGGTTTTATTTAATAATATCGACATTATTGGACTGAAAAATGGTGTATTGAAAATGACCTGGTTGATAACGAGGATAAAAAAGTTTGGAAACTCCAAATTTTTGGCCTAAACGTCTTGTAATAAAAATTTTCTTAAACTTGTTTATATTTGAATACTTTTCTATCAGTACTGTTGTCTGCGAAGTAGATAATATTAGTCTCATTTGTTTTTTGTTTTTTTTTTACATTTTAACCCGTCCTAACTTTCTAATTCCTAGCGATGTAACCCCACAAGTATACTACGATATACTACTACTTCTAATGCGTATAGACACATATATGTTTGGCATAAACTATACTCCCAATATGTCCTTGCACGATTGCACCAAACCGATGCTGTAGCCACACGCAAGTGAAAATCTCTTCCGCTTAGTTTTGTATGTGACTTTTTTAAATTGAATTTCCTCACCAAAGCGCCAAGTGTAATTTGTGTTAGTTTTACAGTTGCACACAGTTATGTGCATACATACACACGTACAGTTGTGTTGAAATTGCATTTCTGTATACTTACTGGGTGATATATTCCGTTCGTTGATGTCGGCCAAGTCGATTAGATTTGTGCCAATTTTCAGGCCACGCACACAGCCAATATATCCCTGCAGCGCCGGAGCGTCCAGATTGGGCCTTAGCAAATTCGCAGGATCATAACCGCCAATATTGAATTGGAAATACTCCGTTGGCGGTGCAGGTGGTCGGTGTGGTGAGAGAACCTCTGCAAAATATGAATACGATAGGAAATATGTTAAATGAAAATCTCTGTCCCATAAAATGAAGAATGATGAAAAATGAGAGAGTCGGTGGAATATATTTTGTTAAAATTTTGAATTAAAAATCAAATGAATTTCCGTTTTACGTTTCAGAATTTCGTTCTTCGAAATTACTTCCAGTATTGTTCAAATAGAGTTGTTGCTGAGAGCCCAGTTCACTTTTAAGTTGAATCAGCTGTCTTTTATTGTTTCAGTCCGATTTCGAAATCAATGCTGGGTTAGCGCAAGATAATAAGGGAAATTAAATAGACAATTGATGCTAAATAGACACATGAATTCCGCTTGCGAAACTAAATTATGGTTGAAACACTAAACTGGTATGGTATGTATACTGTTTGAAAAATTAAATGTGTTAAGCAGTTACTCTTTCGGTTTCATTTCTTGTTAGAAAATTTAAGAAGAAATATGGGAAATGATTAATATGGGCAAACAGAAAGCATCTGCCGTTACAGGTTAGTGGGATCGTGAGGAATCGTATCAATAATCTCAATGGGCCCGATGGTTACAGTCAGCACCTTGATTGAAAACCTCTCTAATTTAAAAAATGTTTGTTTTCTCAAACAATCCACTATATAGTAATGAAGAAATAATCATAATTCATTTTCAAAACTGAGTAGAGAAGCGTTTGTATAAATTAAGCTGGTTAATTTATTTTCAATAAAGCTGTTAGGGTTTCACTCAGTCGTAGTTTTTTTCTCAGCTTCTGTCTTATCAAAGGCGAAATCGCATGCTCCACAAATTGATATAATTACCTTTATCCGGATTGACCCACGGTTTGTTGCTGTATTCATCCAATAGCAGCATGCCTCTGTCAACACTTACGCTCTGCTCGTTCACGTGCATCGTGGTGCGTTGCTCCTCACGCTCAATGGCCACCTGAATGCTGTTCAAGCTACTCACGGACACATCAACAATAGTCAGATTAACAATTGCATCGCCATAATTATAGAGGAAGACAATTTCGCGACCGGAGCTAATATACAAGTGCACGAAATTGTTGTAATGATCATTTGCATATAAGACTAGCGCATTCGCATCGTAAGTGCGTAAGTTTATGAGAATGTCTTGTGCGAGGATGCCTTTAAGAATGTCCCGTTCCTCATTGATACCGTAGATGGAGTAGGCGGCCGGCAGGAAGGGCGGCGTAGCGGCGGGTGTGTTAATGTAATTGCGCATCAAAAACGACTCACGTGTGATGAAGGTGAGTGCCTTCTCGTTGATGTCTGCAAATTGAGAAGTTGAAATGAGATAGTTTTCAAACAAGCGCTTAAATTTCGAAATTATTCTAATTCCAGTTAGCAAAGAGTCTAACAACACACTTACTTGTCTCGCAGAATTCACCGATGTGCGCCCAAGGGTTGTTGCACACACACTGGAAGGTACTCCATAGTTCCTTGCATTGCGCGCCATTTTTACACGGAGATGGGACACACGAAGGCTTGCAGTCTTTAATTATCTCTGAAAGATGTACGGACATATAACTGTAAATGTCGAGTATTTCGCCGTTGACGACTAGTCCGCGGAAGCAACCAATTAGGCCAGCTTTAACAGAGAGTTTCTTCAGCAGGTCACTGACGTGTCAAGTGGTTGTGTTGTTGGCATGAAACGAAAGCAGTCAAAATGGAAGTTATAAGAGTGTTTAAAGCGTATTATATTAAAGCCAAACAAAGTAGGCAATTAATCTAATGTATCTTGTAGTTAGGAGTGCCATTCTTAGATTTTTTGAGTTAATATTATATTTTATTTATTTTAAATGTGTTGTTGCCATTAATTTCATTCAAAGTTCCGGTTTAGTTATATTGTGCATAAATATTTATATCATATATATTGTAAAATAAACCGTTTTTCCCAAACAAAACAAAAAAAACGAGTGACATCGGTGCAACCCTGATTCAAATCTTTATAAATAGATGAAAGAATATGTACTTAAATTACCAAACGACACCAGTTTTGAGAAGACCGACAAGCCCACCTTGACCTACATTCTTTTTTTGCACCTGAAAGTGTTGAAGATCTGTAAACAATGCCTCACTCCGTGATTGCCACCAATAAGACCGAAACTCTTAGTCATTGACATATACAATATATAAATACCGCAGATTACGGGCGAATAAATCTAAGATGCTTAAGAGGTCTCAAATAGGAACAGCATCTCGAAAACTCTAGGAAATAGTAAGGCGTGCTCCCACGCTTTGTGGAACACTAAAAATGTATGAACGAGGATCGGATATATGAAGTTATTTATTATTTTATCCTTGTCGCATATTTAAATTCTCGAGAATAAAAGTTAAAAATAAGTTGGTAAGTGAATACCAATACAAGAACTGGAGCGTCTACACTTCCCGTAAATTATGAATTACCTATGTAAGTAGCAGTTTTAGAACTTTTGCCCAATATATGTACAATATATGGATATGTTAGCAAATTTTAATGATTTAAAATGCCCAGATTATAAATTTATTCATTATAGTATAGAAAGTGCTCTTGATTTTATGATTATGGCATATCTTATTCAATTATAGTCTTGTTAGCAATAAAATTTATTTTTCAGACATGATTAAGGTTCTGCGCGTACAAACATCACGAGATCCCCAGCTTCACGCTCCTTACCCAAAATATGAGAAAAATTATGCGGAAGGTTGTAAGGTTTTAATGAAAATCAAAAGTGGAGATATCTAGACTTACAACGTCCGGTGGGTTTTACGTGAGTACCTGCCGTATATGGCCTTACCTCACGGTGCTCCAAAGCACAACGTATCAAAACAATGCGTTGATAAGCGCCGCAAATAATACGAGCTTTTTGCAAGTATTAATTTGGTTACGAGTGGCCAGTGTGTAGGGGCACACCGACCATCTTGGTAAGATTCGAGGCCGACCTAAAACCTCTTCCGTTTTCGGGTCCGAACCCAGTTGCTTGTGCAACTTATTTTTTCGAACTGAAATTCAGTTCTTGCAGCATTTAGGTTTAAACCACAGCCACCACGATACTCCCCAAAGGGCCGAACCCAATTAGCAGATTGAACCGAAGTCCAACGGCATTCTGCTCCCCGTGGTACCAGAGTTGAGTCTCCGGTCAGACTGTGTAGCCGAAACTACTGCCAGTTGAGCTCCGCCTTACTCAATGACTGGTGACATTTGTCGCTTGAACTTCAAATGTCTTTTTATTTGGAATCTTATTTAAAGTCTATAATATCAGTTCAAGCTGAGTATTATAGCACTATTTCTGACATCATTTACTATGCTGATAATTCTGGGCAAAATAAATTAATAGTTATAGTAGATTTGGCTTTTAGTCGCCTTTTACGACAGGCATGCCTTACCGTGGGTAAATTTTTCTAGACTTACAGTCCACAAAATGTCCTGTTTTATTCAAAGAAAACTTCGCATTCCTTTCAAAAGTAATTCGCACATACTTAGAAACAATAATGTCGCCAAAGTCCCCGAAATTGGTACAGTCCTCCAGTAGAAGTGAATGGGAGGCAAAACTTCTAAGCTAAAGTTCTTTTCTCAAAATGAACTCAGTGATTTAATACGCGATCAAGTTTGGAGTGATATACCTACATAAAACAATTTGTCAAAGCATTGGACGTGGAAGGATATTGTTCTGATTACATTGGTAGCAAGCCTTCGAAGCTAGTATGGAAAATTTGAAAGATGGAATACTTGACGATCCTCAGATACAGCAATTAATGAAAGAGTTAATATTAAAAAAGACTGTGTTGACAGTCGAAAATTTCCTAGGTAACCGAAAAGCACAAAATTAGGAAGAAATTATCCAAATTATGCTGACACTTTCAGATTCTTAGAATACCTCCGTAATCATCTGGAAAAATGTTTCGGATATTTTATGAAATTATAGTGAGTAACAGGGTGATCATCTCCACCAGGATCTGAAAGTGACAAGAGGGAAGTATCGAGGTTGATGGGATCGTCTCTAGATGAAAAATTATCAGTGGTCCTTAGAAAGAGATTATCAACTGGAAAATATTAAATGAAATTTTCATAAAAGCCGTTTTTTTTTTTAAATAAAACACATCTTTCCGACATTTTTCTCACTGTTCACATCGATGTATCTCTATTTTTCAAAACGAAACTGACATTATAAATACAATTAGTTTGTTTCATGTTTTCTTCTCTTTGTAATATAAAATGAAAATAAAGACTTAAAAAAACGAAAACATATCTTACAAATCATTGATAATGTCATGAATTGTGAGCAAAAATATATCCAAAACCGGTCTTATATCTAGAGCAAGAAAACCACTGTATGTGTTGTTATTGTTTGTTTATAGTAAAAGTGTTGGCAACAGATAATATCTATTCTTCTATTATTTCATTTGGGGAGTTCGTAAGAATTGTTAACAATCGTGGTTGCAATACCAATTTGCCTACGATTGAAGACTGAACTGTTCATCGTCGTTTGTGAGGTATTAAATTATTAATAATATCCTTGCAAGTATGAATCTTGGACAGTTATTTTTGTACCCATTGGGAGTATTACATTTATCACTTATACCAGGGTTGCCTTTTATATTTCGGGATTAGAAAACAAAAACAAATATTAATCATCAACAATAACTTTATTGTTTTTCATAATATTCTCCATTAAAATTTATACATTTTTGTCTACATTTGAATCAGTTGTCGAAGCACTTTTGCCACTTTGATTAAGGTATCTCCAAAACATACGTTCTGAACTCATTAACCTCCTCTTCAGGTGTCGAAAAACGTTGACCTCTTAAATAAACGCACGGGAATAAAAAGAAGTCATTCGGTGTCAGGACTATACGGTGGATGAATAATCAGATCGATGTTTTGAGTGTTCAAAAATGAAGTTGTTTCAGTTGATGTGAGTTCGCATTGTCGTGGTGAAAAGTAAAACGGCTTCGGCGGTAGGCTTTCCAGATTTCTTGAAAGACAAATGGCAAACAAATGGTTGCGTACTACTCAGAAATTACTGTTCGGCGTTGTTCTAGTGGTTGTTCAAGCGCGAACAACTTTTGTTGGATTCGGCTCATCTAGAAACACCCATATAGTAATTAAGTTCATTGATGCACTGTAGATGAGTTAATCCACATAGAAAGTTGTAAAAAAGAATCGCGCGAAAATGTTTACAATTTAAATCCATTTTTTGACCAAGATGACTGTTACTGTAAACAACACAAATAACGCTCCTATTTGAAAAAGTATGTATAAGCTCAAGAATGTCAAACTTTATTATAAAGCAGTGAGTTGCTGGATTTCAGCACCAGGGTTACCAAAACCCGAAATATAAAGGCAACCTACGTAATAATTGTAAAATTATGGTTTTTATACATTTGAGATTTAGATTGCAGTTCTGTGCTAGATTATAGTGAAAATTCTAAGCAGTGCAAACTTCCCTGATTGTATATATATATATAGATTACCCAAAATGTTTGTAAATATAGAGCTTATATAAATTTATTTTGAAATGAATACCTTCAGGTTTTGGCAAAACGTTATATCAAACTAAGGTAAGTATCGCCGTGATTTGATCCATTAACGGAAAGTGGAAACACTGTTATTACATAGAGGTTCCTACTGAATTTCTTTAAGATTTCTTATATATTGACCGGTGGGGTATAAAGTGAACCGGAGATTCGAAAATATTCATGATAGGTATATTGGGGCTAAAGGAAGTGCTGACCTGCTTTTACTCATTTTTGGCACAAGATATAGTGCAATTTCGACATTTTTTGGAGAGCGCTATTTGTGCAAACTTTTAATTTGGTAACTTAATTAATGTTTAATTTATATACTGTAAAGTAAGAGATTCAAACCCAATTTAATCGTTTGTATTATGGGAAGTGGGCGTGGCTGTTATCAATTTTTACATCAGCTCTTATAAAGCTCTGTTCTGCCATCCTGGTTGTGTAATTTAATGCTTGTGGCTCATTTATTCAGTGAGTTCTCCTACTTTTAGTAGTTTTCAACATATCCGTTATATGGGGAGTGGGCGTGGTTACTATCTGAGTTTACCTATTTTCACAGTGTATAAAGAAGTACTAAAAAGACTTCTCCAGGCAAGTTTAATTAAGTTACCTTCAGTAGTTTGAAAGATATGTTCATTTAACCACGGGCTGTCTACGCTCACTTTAAAAATATTTTTGGTCGACAAGTGCCCCTCACTACTGCGATCCCCTGTACCACAGAGTGTTGTGTCGTAATTTACTGCTTAGTTATGACACTTTATAGGCTTTAGTTAAATGGCCTTTTGTGGGCGTGACAGTCGTCCGATTACGCCCATCTGCAATACCAAGATGCCAAGAAACTTATGTACCAAGTTTTTTCAAGATATTTAAATTTTTACTCAAGTTATCGCTTGCACGGACAGATAGTCACCCGAATTTCAACACGTTTCGTCACCCTGATCATTTCTATTTACATATACCCTACTAACTCGATTATTTTTTGGTGATACAAATAACCGTTAAGTGAACAAAACTATTATACTATGTGCAATATGTATATATAATATAGTATAAAAACATAAACACTAAGGAAAATTACAACTACATTAGCTAAAACTATACTGTTTTGCCGTTTTACA